TCAGTGGTAGAGTGCTTGCCTAGCACATGCAAAGCCCTGTGTTCAATTCCAGCACCATGAAAAATTGATTGACCATGAAGGTAAGAATTTATTTCTGAACTTTAAATTGTATTCCACTCATCCATGTGTCTAGCCTAAAATGAGTTCCACACTGTTCTAATTTTGAGCTTTATACATATTTGGGATCCCTAATCTGAAAATCCATATCCCAAATTTTGTGAGCAGAAGTAAAGTCTATGCAAATATTCTAAAATATAAAAATCTAAGAAATCTGAAATACCAAGTATTTAGATTCCAAGTATTGTGGATAAGGGCTACTCAATCTGTAGTATGTTTTAAAACTGAGAAATGTCAGTTGAACCTTGTACTTCTTTTTAAAGGTTCATCTCCATATGAATTTTTTAAAAGAATTATTAGGATATATTCATTATACAGGGAGGGGATTTGTAGTGACAATTTCAATTAGACTTATATTGTACATTATTTACATTGCCCCCATTGTCTCTTCCTCTCACCCCCTCCCCACCCCACTTAAAGCAATTGCAAAAAGGTTTTTTAGTTCTGTTTCATATAGGTATATGAAGTCCATCAACCATATACCATCACCTTAATCTCCTTCCTTCACTCCTCCTCCCAATAGTACCCCCCACACACTGTGTCTATTTTACAGTCCTGGTTTTAATTATTAATATTTAAGTTGACATTCAAAGGGGTGTCTCAATGTGGGACTGTGGGTGTGCTCTACTTTGGTCTATTCATTCCCTTTGAATACTTTCCCTTATCCTTTTACCTTCCACCCCCTGTTTTTCAACAGCTTTCGATACGTATCCTTATATCCTCTACCTTCACATCTTATGGTATGCAATATTACTCAGCCACAAGGAATAATGGGGCTTGAAGGTAAATGGATGCAATTGGAGGACATCATGTTAAGTGAAGTTAGCCAGGATCAGAAACACGAAAGACACATGCTTTTTCTCATACGTGGAAGATAGATATAAAGATAAACATATATACAAAAAAAGCATGATCATATACAAACTCAGATGTAGAATATGTTTTTAGCAATGGAACTACTCTATAGAACTTGGGGAAAGAGGGAAAGGAGAAGAGAATGATAGAGCATCAGTAATATCGCATTCCATATGAATTTTTGTATAAGCTTGTCATCATGCAAAAAAAATGCCAACTGGGTTTTAACAGTGAATAGGTTGAATTTGTAGATCAATTTGAGTACCATTGCCATCTTAATACTATGTCTTCCAATCTATGGACTTGAAATTTTGTTCTGTTCATTTAGATCTTGTCTAATTTCTTTCAACAGTGTTTTGTACTTTTCAGTATCCAAGTCTTGGATTTATTTTGTTAAATTTATTTCTGGATATTCTTTTTGGTGCTATAAATTGAATTATTTACTTGATTTCTTTTGGAGATTGTTTATTTCTAGAATACAAACATATAACTGATTTTCATATATTAAGATTGTACAGTCTTGAGCTAGTTCTAGTAGGTTTTTTTTAGTGAATTCTTTGGGATTTTTATGTATAAATTCATATCTTATTACATATTACATTACTTGGTCATAACTGATTATAATAAATATATGGATAAAATGGCCTTACTGTATACAAGATCATAGTAATCTATTAATAGAGATAGTTTAATTTCTTTTCCAACCTGGATACTTTTATTTCTTTTCCTTGTCTACTTGCCCTGGCTGGAACCTCTACTACAATGTTGAATAAAACTGATAAGAGCAATATCCTTGTCTTATTCCTCATCATAAGGGGATGCACTCAGTCTTTCACCATTAAGTATAGTGTTAGTTGTGTATTTTTTGTAGATGACACCTATCAGCACCAGGAAGTTACCTTCTGTGCCTAGTGGCATAGAATTGTCTAATGTGTTCATCATGAAGGAGTGTTAGATTTTGTCAAATACTGTTTTCTGCATCTATTGAGATGATCATATTGTTTTTTCTTTATTCTAGAAATGTAGAATATTTATATTGATTTCAAAGGTTAGACAAACTTTTTCTCCCTAGGATAAACTCCTGTTGCTCATGCTGTGTACTACTTTTTGTATGTTGCTAGATGCAGTCTGCTAGCCTCTTGTTGAGGATTTTGCATCTTATGAACAATGAGCAATAATTGGTCTATATTTTTGTGATCTTTGGTCTTGATATCAGGGTAACACTGGCTTCTTAAATGGGCAGTGTTCCCACCTCTTTGATTTTTTAGAAGAGTTTGTAAATGATGGGTACTAATTTTGCTTTAAATGTTTGGTGTGCAATTCATAAATGAAGTCATTTGGCCCTGGGCTTTTTTGGTGAGTTGTGGAATTACTTATTCAGTCTTTGTACTCGTTATAGGCATGTTCAGTTTTTCTATTTGTTCTTAATTTGGGCAGCTTGTAACTTTTTAGGAATTTGTTCGTTTCATCTAGGTTGTCTAATTGGTTAGTGTACAATTGTTCGTAGTACCCCCTTATACTCTTTTTTATTTCTATAGTTCAGTAATGATGTCCCCTCTTTCAGTCCCAATTTTAGAAATTTGAGTCTTCTCCTTTTTTAGCCAGTCTTAAGATTTATCAATTTTATTGCTCCTTTCCAAGAACCAAATTTTGTTTTTATTAATTATCTCTGTTTTCCTATTTTTAAAATTAATTTCATTCTCACTGTGTAGTCCAGGGTGGTCTAGAAGTTTTGATTCCTCTGCCTCAGCCTCCTGTGTAATGAGATTACAGGTGTGTACCACCATGTCCAGCTTTCTTCCAGTTTTTTATTATCATATTATTGTTGTACTGGAGGTACATTGTGACATTTACAAAAGTTCTTAGAATATATTATACTTGAATTCATCCCCTCCATCATTCTCCTTTATCCTCCCTTCCCCCATTCCTGGAATAGTTTCAACATGTCTCATTTTTCCATTTACATACATGTATGCATAATATTTCCACTACATTCCTTCTCCAGTTTTTATTTTTTTAAAAAATTAGGTGGTACTGATGTTTGAACTCAGGGTCTTGCATTTGCCAGGCAAGTGCTCTACCACTTGGTCCATGCCTCTCAAGTCCTTTTTTTCCAGTTTTAAAGTAGAATATCATATTGATTTGAGTGAGATCTTTCTTCTTTTTGGTATAGGTATTTATAGGCCTAAACATAGGCACATTTACCTATATAGGTATTTATAGTCATAAATACAGGTATATTATATAGGTATTTGTAGCTAAAATACAGGTATTTTCAGTAGCTTTTTTTTTTTTTGGTGGTGCTAAAGATTGAACCCGGGGCCTTTTGCATGCTAGGCAAGCATTCTGCCACTGATATCCCTAGCCAGATCTACTATTTTATCCTTTTTATCAGCAAATACAGATATTTTAATATAAAAAAAGTATTTATAGCTATAGATTTATACATATTTATTCCATTATGTGTTTATAGCTATAAATTTTTCTATAAGCACTGCTTTAGTTGCACCCCACATACTTTTCCTTCTTTTCCATTTTTTAAAAATTTATGTTGAGACAGGTCTCACTATGTAGCCCAGGATTGCCTCAAACCCAGGATCCTCCTGCCTTAGGCTTCTCAGTGTGAGTCCTGAGATTATAGATGTGCCTTACTATTACTGGCTGTTTGTTGTGCTTTCATCTTCATTCATCTTATAGTATTCTCTTATTTCTCCTTTCATCCATTTGTTCTTTAGGTTAGTATTGTTTACTTTCCTTGTATTTATGAATTTCCCAAATCTATTTCTGTTTTTAATTTCTCATTTATTTTGTGATCTGAAAAGATACTTTGTATGTTTTGTCTTTTTAAATCTGTTCAGATTTATGTTATTTATATTATGATCTATCATACAGTATATTGTGAAGAATGTTCCACAAGAATGTGCCTAGAAAGGATGTATATTCTGCTGATGTTGGGTGGAGTATTTTATATATGTCAGTTAGGTCTAGTTAGCTTGCAGTTCTATTCAAGTCCTATATTCATGTTAATTTTTCATGCAGGTGTTCTATCCATTAGAGTATTGATGTCCCCAAGTTTGTTGAATTCTCCTTTTCTTTCAATTCTTTGTTTTGGCTTCATAGTTTTGGGCTATGTTGTTTGTTTTATAATTTGTTTGTTTATAATTAGTTTATCTTCTTGATTTAGGGACTGTTTTATCATTATGAAATATCCCTCTCTACCTTTAGTAACAATTTTTGTCCTAAAGTCTGCTGTTTTGCCTACTATTAGCATAGCTATCATGGTTACTATTTGCCTGGTATTTCTTTTTTTGTCCCTTTCCTTTCATTCTTTGAAATTAAAATGTGTCTCCTATATATAACACATAGTTGAATCTGTTTTAGTATCTGGTATCACCACCTCTGCCTATTGATTATTTAATCTATTTACATATGTTACTATTGATGTGATTGGATTTGCATCTGCCATTTTATTTTTCTGACATACTGTCAGCCCTTCATACCTGTGGGTTCCACATTAAAAGTTAAGTCTGTTTTGACATATATAGACATTTTCTTATGATTTTTCAATAAACAATATAGTATAACAATTCTTTACATGGCATTTATGTTGAATTAGGTACTGTAATTAATTTAGAGATGATTTAAAGCATACAGAAGACTGTGTGCAGGTTATATGCAAATACTACATCAGTTTATTCAAGGGACTGAGCATCTTTGAAGTTTTGTAACCATGGAGTTCCTCGCATTAGTCCCCCATGGATACCAAGGGACAATTGTATATCTCATGACTATTTTGTACCTCATTTCCTCTTAATTTCAAATTATTTTTGTAAAATGGTCTGAGGTAGATGTTTAAGTCCAGATGGTTATCTAACTGTGCTAGTACCCATTTAAATTAATGTCTATTTGTACCGAATTGTAATATCTCTTTTCCCATGTGTAGTTGGATATATTTATGAAATTTCTGCTATGTTCTACTCGTGTATATGTCTTCTCTTACATTACTGCCTATTATTTTGTTTCAATAACTTAATGATAAAGTTCAATATCTGTCATAGCACATTCCTTTTTATTTTGCATTTTTTTCAAATAATTACTCATGTGAAGCTTTGAATTCCCAAAGTAAGCACTATTTTTAATCCTTTTAAGATTTCACAATTGACCAGTGTGTTGGTGCATGCCTGTAATCCCAGCACTTCAGGAGGTGGAGGTAGGAGGATTGAGTTTCAGGCTAACATGGGCTACCTAGCAAGACCCTGTCTCAAAAAGACAAAAAAAAAAAATCCAGAAAACGTGTGTATGTGAACACACACACGTTCAATAATAATATGGTGTGTTTAAATTTAGGTGATTTATTTAAAGTAGAAACTGGTAAGTGGTAACATGCCACATTAAAATGCAACAAACCTAGATATTTTACGTGACTTTCAACTAATTATTTTTTTCTTCACACAGTGTTCATGCTATGGAAAGCAGTGCCCTCAGGATATTAAAAGAGAGAATGATTTCACAAAAAACTGACCTCACTCATGCTTTCCAACTTCAAGACCGTAGTAGATCAGGTAATAGAATTATGTAGTCCTCATTTCAAACATATCAGGTTATATACAGGTCAGTTTTCATTTTCTTTACTTCCTTGGGATTTCAGTTCTTCCATTTTTGCTAGAAAGAAATGATAGAGACAAAATAAATTTAAACCCATTATTCACTCAAACCAGGCATATATCTTCTTTTTGGTAAGATTCTTTCAATTAAAAAAACAAGTAACTCTGAATTCGACTTCTATCCTGGTAGTATATTAAGAAACAGCTAGTTTCATGAGGATGCAGAATTTTAATACATTTATCAACTTCACAGTATGGTAAACCTCCTAGCTACATCTCCACTCCTTATGAAAGATGATTTCAGTCAGGCATGTTGGTGCACACCTGTAATCCCAGCACTGCAGAGGCTGAGGCAGGAGGATTGCAAGTTTGAGGCTAGCCTCCACTACATAGGGAGACCCTGTCTCCCAAAAATAAAAAAATGATTTGACCTATGTTCACGAGCATGGAGCAACAAGCAAGCACAAAAGGCTGGATTGTCCTGGGGCAAATGTTAATATTGGTATAACAATCATCCTAGACTAAACTCTAGTATACTAGAAAGACAGAAAAGCTGAATTTGGGAGTTCCACATTATGTCTGTACCCTCAAAATGGTGAACTTACTCTAGAATCTGTAATGTTCCTTACTCCTAGAAAGCAAATCCTTTTTTGAGGAAAGCATCCTTAATTTTCACTACTAGTATATCCCAAGGTTAAGATCAACCAATGTGAACTCACAACCAATGATTACCAAACAAAGAAAGAGATATGAGGTATGATGTATAGCAGTCAGCAGAAAGAACAAACAACAGATCTGGTTCCCTAAGGACATCAGATATTGGAATTATCAAATATCAAATATAAAATGTAAAAAAATGAAAACAAAAGAATCACAAACATGCACTTTAAAATCATTTAAAGAAGTAGCAAGTAGCTGTAAAAGTACACTTGTTAAAATAAAGAGAAAGCATAATGGATGGGTTAATGAGATGATTAGATACTGCTCAAGAATTACAAAGATTAGCAGATATGAACAGCAAGAGCTGGGTGTAGTGGCACATACCTGTGTTCCAGGTATTTGACATGTGGAGGCAGGAGAATCATGAGTTTGAGGCCAGTTGGGGCAAAAGTAGTGGTGAGACCATTTTTCAAAACCTTGGGGTCAGAGCTCAAGTCACATTGCTGGCCTAGCATGTGTAAGATTGTAGGTTCAATTCCTAGGACCACAAAAAACAGTGAAGCCAGCCTGGGTTAAGTATTGAGACCCTGTCTCAAAAATAAATTCTTCTTTTCAATTGAAAATGAGAAATGTACTTCAGAATAACTCTTGGATCAAAGAAGAAATGAGAATGAAAATTAGAGTGCTGAAACTAAATAATAATGAAACTACAGCATTCAAAACTTTTTTTGCGGTATGGGGTTTTGAGCTCAAGGCCTCACACTTGATAGGCAAATCCTCTACCACTTGAGCCATGCTTCCAGGTCAACATTTAATACTTATGTATGCAAATTAGAGAGATATTGATAACTTTCAATGTAAATATTGAAAAAGATGAAATTGTGATCATCAAAGTAAAAAAAATAGTTCTTTGAAGAAACTGGTACATTTGATACAACTCTGTTGAGAAAGAGAAAAAGAGGTCACAGAAGAGAGCACATGTGTTCAAGCACAAATAACCAATGCCAAGAGTGAAAGAGATGTTATTATAGCAGAATTTATAAACATTAAAGAGATCATAAGATGTATTATGAAAACTTTTATGCCAGTGAATTCAAACTTTAGATCAAATGGACAAATTCCACAGGTTTGTGTGTATACTGTTTCTATTATATATATATATATATATATATATATATATATATATATATATACACATACACATATATAATATATATAAATAGAAAACCTTGACAGTTTCATTTACAGTTACAATATATATTTAAGAAAGAAATCAAACAACTCTTATACAAACTCTTCTAGAAATAGGAAAGAGGGAAACTCTTCCCAAATTACTTTAGAAGGTCTGCATAACCTTGATATTAACTCCTAAGGAGAAAATAGGAGACTTAAGGGCTTATCTCACTGATAAATTTAGATTTTCAAAAATTCTAGATGAAATATTAGACAAAAATTAATATATTACAACCAAGTTTGATTTTTGCTAGGAATGCTAGGTTTTTTTTAACATTCAAAAACCAATCAGTGTAATCCACCACTTTAACAAAATTCAAGAAGCCATATAATTCTCTCAAAATAAAATAATTATTTGATATATTTCACCCTGGTTTCATGGTTTTAGAAAACTAAGAATATACATGAACATCCTTAATTTCAGAAATCTGCCAAAGCCTGTAACCAACAGCGTGCATAATGGAAAGGAATGAGAGGAGGAAGCATGATATGCTGAAAAATGCCCTGTCCCTCAGTGTGTCCACATCATAACATAATCTGTGAATGTTTCTTTACATGACAAAAGGGAATTTGCAGATGTGATTAATTTAAGGATCTTGATCTGGGGAGATTATACTGCATTATGCAAGTGTGCCTGATGTAATCACAATAGTCCTGTTAAGGGAGATGTAGGAAGAGACTGAGTTGGAGGGGAAGTTGATATGATGGGACCAGATGGCAAAATGACATCTTTTGAAGATGGAAGATGGGACACAAACCCAAGGAATACAGACAGGCGGTAGAAGCTGGAAAGGCAAGGAATGAGATCATTCAGTCAGGGCTACTGGCAGGAACCCACCTGTTCACACCTTTACTTTTGCCCAGTGAAACTGATTTCAGACATCTAATACCCAGAAGAATGAGAGAATACATTTGTATTATTTTAAACAACTAACTCTGTGGTAGTTTGTTTCAGAAGCAATAGAAAATTAATACAGATGCCACTATCAAGACAACTGTTCAATATGGTACTAGGGATGCTCCAAGTACATTAAGTCAAGGTAAAGAAATAAGAATTAAAAAAGGAAAATATAGAACTGTTACTATGTATAAACAATATGATTAAGTATATAGGAAATCCAAAGGAATCCACAGAAAAGCTATTAGAATTAATAAATAAATTTAGCAAATTGTCAAACACTAGATCAGTATACAGAAATTGATTACATTTCCATATAGTAGTGTACTAATCAGTCTGTTTAGGATATAGAAACTGTATCAGTAATTTGAACAGAGAAATTTAATACAAAGAATTATAAGGGTTTGACTGATTAAGGTATAATATGCATACAGGTAAAATACCAAGGCAAAATCCCATTGAACAATGAACAGACACTTAAACAATGAAGGGCAGGAATATAAAACAGGATATGTTAAGAGGAGGGAAATAGCAGGAGAGGGAGGTTAAATGAAGAGGTTAAAGGAGGGTGAATATTTAGTTGAGGTACTTTCAATACAAGTACAAATATGAAATATTGAAAACTGTTGAAGTTATTTTAAGAGAGTAGCGGGGAAAGAGGGAGCATAAAGGAGGGGATGAACCAAATTGGGGCATAATACATGAATATATGGAAATGTCACATGAACCCCCCCCACCCCATATAACTATCACATACTAATAAAAATATTTTTTAAATAAGGAATTAATAACTAGTAAACAGTGATCAACTATTAAAAGTGATAAAAGAGAAATCTTTAAAAGATAAAGGAATAGCAAGTAGAGTAAGTATAGGGTGGAGCTACTATTTCTAAGGAAGAGAGAAACAGACAGACACCAAGGAGGAACAAATTTCGGAGAATCCTTTACTCCCAAACAAAGCTGAGATTCAGACCTCATTGGAGAGGGCATGGCTGTGGCCCACTGCATGGGGCAGGAGGTCACTGATGGGCCTCCAGTCAAAGTTGATCTTCAGCTAGTGGGCCAGGCTAGAGAGAATGGAGCCACCACTGTGGTGCCAGTGAAAGTCACTAGAAGGGTAGGTGTCACTGCACTTTCCACACACCATTAAGACAAAATAACTGGAAAAATACTTGAAAAAAATCGAATCTGCTCTGAACATGGACAGACTGTTCTCCTTATCATTATTCCCTAAACAATACACTATAACAACTATATATGTAGCATTTACATTGTATTAGGAACAGTAAGTAATCTAGAGCTGATTTAAAGGGTGCCAGAGGCTATAAGTAGGTTATGTGCAAATACTATGTCATTTTTATATAAGGAACTTGAGAATCCTCAGATTGTTGTATCCATGGAGGGCTTCTGCATCCAGTCACTCACAGATATCAAGGAAAAACTGTATATCAAAGACCTTAAAAGTACATAATAAAATACTGGAATTTCACTTGTAGGAGTGATCCTAAGGAAAGGTGGAAACTGTTTATAGCCATTAAAACAGTGTATTAATGTTTATATGTTTATTAACATAGATCTACATAGATAAACATAGATCATAAACTTACTAAAACATTGGTTATTCATAATTTAATGCTAGTAAAAAATAGAGTATTTTGTGTGTTTTACCATATATACTACGTGTCTATAAAACATGCTAAAGTACAGTGTATATTTGATTTTAACAAAGAGAAACTATATATACATTTATGTATAAATATGTTTGCATAGGTAAAGATGGGAAGTATCAACATTATTTCCTGTTTATTCAAAGTCATTTAAGTGGTGAGGGTGGTGGGGCATGCCTGTAATTGCAGCACTTGGAAGGCATAGGTAGGAAGATCACAGGCTTGAGGGAACCTTAGCTACATCGTAAGTTCAAGACCAGCCTGAGCTACATGACAAGCCCCTGTCCCAAAAAAGCAATGGCTGGGGATTCAGCCCAGTGATAGAATGCTTTCCTATAGTGCATGAGGCCCTGGATTCCACTTCAAAAAAAAATTCAAATGAGCATATCTTTACTAGTTAGAAAAAATAAAAATAGTTGGGATTTCAAAACTTCCATATAGTGTTGGGGGGAAAGCAAATTAGATGAGAAAATTGATGGATAATATACTAAAATATTAAAATTAAGTTACTGATCCTTTGTATTGTTTTGTTTCCACATCTTCTATAAAAAGCATACATTATTTTGTTAATCAAAACAAGGGAAAAAATCTAGCCAAAATGAGATTTCTTACACATGACAGGAAGGATGGAATCTGGGGAATATTAAAATCTGTCTTTAGTTATTCCTCCAGAGCTCAGGGACCTGGTAGGACAGATCATGGAGGAAAGCAGGTCCCAGGCTTCAAAACCCTAAGCTGCCCAATGACTCTGCCCAGGAACTTGCATTTTTTGGTCAAATTATATACAAATTATATGGGCTTTCTCATTGTCATTGTTGTTAGGAAAAATTTCAGTGGCCCAGTGGGCTTTTTCTATGGAAAGCACTTTGGGGCTGAACTTACCATGGAGATCCCTGAGCTCACATCTGGTAAACACAGATGAAGATGGAAATGTTGACTACATGTCCAGCTTCCAGGATATCCACATTGAAAAACCTGTGAAAAAGGCAAGTGACACTTAGTGCCAGCTAAAATCTGGCTAGAGCAAAACATCCTTGCAGCAACCTCTAAATAATTTAGTGCTTTGCCAAATTGGGAGTAGAATCACCTAATGGATGGGAATGATCTGTTCAGGGAATTTGTATATTCTCTTTACAATAGGCAAAAGGAAAAATGAAAAGGCTCTGGCAAGCAAACCCATGTCACATATGGGATTCTTATTTCAAGTGCTGTCCCACCTGAGGTCAGATGTGCATTCATTCTTTCATGCAAAACACATTTTTAAAATACTGAACATGTTTCCTTAACCATGTATAGACTTGCTGACATGACCCAAAATGTGCCTTAAAGAATGGGAACACCCCGGGGAGAGTGATCAGATTCCAGACCTTGTTAGTGAGAAGTTCATCAGCAATTTGTTAGAACATTGAGCTGATTGAAGTGGGACTTGGGTAATCCTTAGCAGGGAAGGTGAGAATAACGGGGAAAGGAAATAAAAATGCAGGTTGGAACTAAAGTATCCATAGGAAGGAGACTTCAACTTCACTTCAGAGGCAGTTTACCATGGCGACTCAGATCATAGGCCTTGGTTGAGGAAGCTAAGGTTCAAATCTCATTTAATAACTATGGGATCTTTGGGAAAATTGTGTTATCTGTTTTCTAATCTGTAAAATGGACATAATAGTTTTGTTCCCATTCCTAAGGGCTGTAAAGGACTGAATGAAATGATCCATATAAAGCTTTCTTTAAATGTTGGCAGTCGTTATTTACTGCTGCCATATTTACTTTGGTTCACTGAGGAACACAAGGCCTGTAGTGTGAATAAAGATGGGAGGGCCAAGGGAAAGCTTGCCTTCTCAAATTTCTACTTAAATCACCTGATTGGAATTGGTGGGCTCGCTCAGTGGTAGAGCACTTGTCTAGCATATTCACAAGACCCTGGGTTCTATCCCCAAAGAATTGGTAAGGGTGTTTTCTGTTTGTTACATTGCTGTCATTAATTCTAAATGTTTTAACACTTAGAAAATCTTCATTTTAGGTTAAATCTACTGTACTCGAAACTCTGTACAGGTATCGATCTGACCTGAAAATCCTGTTTAATATCATTGACTCTGATCACTCAGGTAAATAACCTTTGATTAGTTCAGTAGTAGTAGAAAGCAAAGGGTAATTTGTTTCTTTGAAATTGAACTGTGTTTTCATCTATTTCATTCTTCATCCAAATATGATGACACTTGGGAAAAATGAACACATGTTTAATATTATTGTTATTTACCTGGGCCAAAATATATTCAAGACCATAGAGTTATACATAACCCTATGTACCCATTGGTCCCACTGGAATAGACCATTTAATAAATCACCAAACTGATTTATCTGATGATTATCTTTTTTAGATAAATTTTTATTAGGATATATTCATTATACAGGGGAGGATTCATAGTGACAAGTCCAATAGACTTATATTGTATATTATTTACATTGCCCCCATTGTCTCTCCCCCTCAACCCCCTCCTTGCTCCAATTAAAGCAATTGCAAGAGTTTTTTTAGTTTTGTTTCATATAGGTATATGAAGTCCATCTACCATATACTATCACTTTAATTTCCTTTATTCACCCTCCTCCCTCCCATTAGTAACCACACACACACACATACAGTACCTATTTTATAGTTTCATTTTTCGTTATTAATATTTAAGTTGATGTTCAAAGGGTGTCTCACTGTACACCCACTGTGGGTATACTTTATCTTGGTCCATTCAATCCCTTACATTACTCTCCCTTATCCCTTTGCCTCCCACCCCCATTTTCCAACAGCTTTCAGTACATATCCATATATCCTCTACCTTCACATCTTATGTTATGTGATATGACTGATGCTGTATCATTCTCTGTTCCTTTCCCTCTTTCCCTGAATTCCATAGAGTAGTTCCACTATTACAGACATGTTCTACATCTGAGTTTGTGTATGATCACGCTTGTTTTGTGTATATGTTTATCTTTGGATCTGTCTTCCACGTATGAGAGAAAACATGCATCTTTTGTGTTTCTGATCCTGGCTAACTTCACTTAACATGATGTCCTCCAAGTAATACTCCACTATGTATATATACTACATTTTCTTGATCCATTTATCAGTTGTAAGACACCTGGGTTGTTTCCAAAACTTGGCTATCATGAATAGTGCTGTGATGAACATCAGTGTACAGGTGTCTCTGTTGTATCCTGTCTTGTGTTCCTTTGGGTAGAAGCCCAGGAGCACGGTATCACTGGATCATGTGGCAGTTCTATGTTTAGTTTTGAGGAATCTCCATGCTCTTTCCATAGTGGATGTATTAATTTGCATTCCCACCAGCAGTGTATAAGGGTTCCTGTTTTGCCACATCCTTGCCACTAACATTTATTGTTGTTGCTATTGATTGTGACCATTCTAACTGGGGTGGGATGAAATCTAACTGTTGTTTTGATTTGCATCTCTTTTATAACCAGGGAAGTTGAACACTTCTTCATGTGTTTACTGGCCATTTGTACCTCTTCCTTTGAGAATTCCCTCTTTAACTCATGTGCCCATTTCTTCATTGGGGTTTGATTCTTTTGGTCTGAGTTTTTTGAGTTCCCTGTAGATTATGGATATTAGTCCCTTATTGGATGAGTACCTGGCAAAGATCTTCTCCCATTCTGTGGGCCGTCTCTTGAGTTTGGTGACTGTTTCCTTTGCTATGCAGAAGCTTTTTAGCTTGATGCAGTCCCATTTGTTAATTATTTCTCTTAGATGCTGAGCCTTTTGAGTTCAGTTTAGGAAGTCATTCCCAATACCTATCTGTTCCAATGTATTTCCTACTGCTTCCTGGAATGTTTCAGTTTCAGGCCTTATATTAAGGTCTTTTATCCTCTTTGAGTTGATTTTGGTACAGGGTGAAAGACAGGGATCTACTTTCAGTCTTCTACATGTGGTTATCCAGTTTTCCAAACAGCATTTGTTGAAGACACTGTCTTTTCTCCATCATGAGTTTTACCTTTGTTAAAGATCAGTTGGCTATAGATGCATGCGTTTATGGCTGGATCTTCTATTCTAATCCATTGGTCTTCCTGTCTGTTTTTGTGCCAATACCTTACTGTTTTTTATTGTTATGGCTCTGTAGTATAGTTTGAAATCGGGTACTCTAATGCCTTCAGCATTGGACTTTTGGCTCAGAATTGCTTTGACAATTCGAGGTCTTTTGTGTTTCCATATGTATTTCAAGATTGGTTTTTCTATTTCTGTGCAGAATGTCATTGGAATTTTGATACGGATTGTGTTGAACATGTAGATTGCTTTTGGTAATATGGCCATTTTCACAATGTTAATTCTACCAATCCATGAGCATGGAAAGTCTTTCCATCTTCTGAGTATTCTTTGATTTCTCTCTTCGGTGGTTTATGGTTTTCATTAAAAAGGTCTTTGGATTCTTTTGTTAAATTTATTCCAAGGTACTTTATTGTTTTTGAGGCTATTGTAAATGGGATTATTGCCCCCTGATTTCTTTCTCAGACTTTTTGTTATTGGTATATAGGAAGGCTACTGATTTCTGTATGTTTATTTTGTATCCTGCTACTTTTCTGAAAGAGTTTACAAATAGTTTTTTGGTAGAATTTTTAGGGTCTCTTAGATATAGGATCATGTCATCTGCAAATAGGGATAGTTTGCCTTCTTCCTTCCCTATTTGAATCCCATTTATTTCTTGCTCTAACTTATTGCTCTGGGTAGGAGTTCCAAAGCTATATCGAATAGGAGTGGAGAAAAAGGACAGCCTGTCTCATTCCTGACTTTAAGGGGAACAGTTTCAATTGTTCTCCATTTAGTATGATGTTGGCTCTAGGTTTGTCATATATAGCCTATGCTGAGGAACATTCCTTCTATTCCTAGTTTCTTCAGAGCTTTTATCATGAAAGAGTGTTGGATTTTGCCAAAGGCTTTTTCTGCGTCTATTGAGAGGATCATGTGGTTTTTGTCCTTGCTTCTGTTTATATGCTGTATTATGTTTATGGATTTGCATATGTTGAACCAACTTGGTTTATGATCTTTTTAATATGTTGTTGAATTCTGTTTGCCACTATTTTGTTGAGAATCTTTGCATCTATATAAATTAAAAATATTGGTCTATAAGACTCTTTTCTGGTTGTGTCTTTATTGGGTTTTGGAATGAGTGTAATGCTGGCATTATAGACTAAGTTCGGTAGTGTTCTTTCTATTTCCTGGAAAAGTTTCAGAAGTGTTGGTGTTAGTTCTTCTTTAAAGGTTTGGTAAGATTTGGCCATGAATCCATCAGGTCCTGGGCTCTTCTTTGTAGGGAGGCTCTTTATTACTGCTTCAATTTCATTGCATGTAATAGGACTATTTAAGTGTTTAATATCTTCTTGGTTCAATTTTGGTTGGTTATATGCATCTAGGAATTTATTCATTTCATCTAGGTTTTCCAGCTTACTTGAATATAAGTTTTCAAAGTACTGTCTAATGATTCTCTGAATTTTGTTAGTGTTTGTGGTTATGTCCCCTCTTTCATCTCTGATTTTATTAATTCAAATCTTTTCCCTCTTCCTTTTTGTCATGTTGGCTAAGGGTTTGTCGATTTTATTAATCTTTTCAAAGAACCAACTTTTTGTTTCATTGATTCTTTTTATAGTTTTCTTTTTTTTTTTTTTTTTTTTTGGTCTCAATCTCATTGATCTCACCCTGATCCTTTTTTTTTTTTTTAACCAGGAGACGTTTATTTTGCATGTAATTTTTAACTCGTTTTCTATCAGTTACATGTTTTTGGTTTCTTTTTTTTGTTTGTTTATTTTTTTATTCATATGTGCATACAATGCTTGGGTCATTTCTCCTCCCTGCCCCCACCCCCTCCCTTACCACCCACTCCACCCCCTCCCTCTCCCCCCCACCCCCTTGATACCTGGCAGAAACTATTTTGCCCTTATCTCTAATGTTGTTGAAGAGAAAGTATAAGCAATAATAGGAAGGAACAAGTGTTTTTGCTGGTTGAGATAAGGATAGCTATACAGGGCATTGACTCACATTAATTTCCTGTGCATGTGTGTTACCTTCTAGGTTAATTCTTTTTGATCTAACCTTCTCTAGTTTTTGGTCCCCTTCTCCTATTGGCCTCAGTTGCTTTTAAGGTATCTGCTTTAGTTTCTCTTCGTTGAGGGCAACAAATGCTAGCTAATTTTTTAGGTGTCTTACCTATCCTCACCCTTCCCTTGTGTGCTCTCGCTTTTATCTTGTGATCAAAATTCAATCCCCTTGTTGTGTTTGCCCTTGATCTAATGTCCACATATGAGGGAGAACATACGATTTTTGGTCTTTTGGGCCAGGCTAACCTCACTCAGAATGATGTTCTCCAATTCCATCCATTTACCAGCAAATGGTAACATTTCATTCTTCTTCATGGTTGCATAAAATTCCATTGTGTATAGATACCACATTTTCTTGATCTATTCGTCAGTAATGGGGCATCATGGCTGTTTCCATAACTTGGCTATTGTGAATAGTGCTGCAATAAACATGGGTGTGCAGGTGCCTCTGTAGTAACCTGTGTCACAGTCTTTGGGGTATATCCCCAACAGTGGTATTGCTGGATCAAATGGTAGATCAATGTTTAGCTTTTTAAGTAGCCTCCAAATTTTTTTCCAGAGTTCATCCTGATCTTTATTATTTCTCTCCATCTGCTAGTTTGGGGTTCGGTTTGTTCTTGTTTTTCTAGGAGCTTATGGTGCATCATTAGGTTGTTTATTTGAGAGGTCTCTGTTTTTTTAATGTAGGCACTATTGCTATGAACTTTCTCCTTAGCACAGCCTTTGCTGTGTCCCATAGATTCTGGTAGGTTGTTTTTTTCATTTTCATTGTATTAGGAACTTTCTGATTTCTTCCTTTATTTCTTTGGTTATACACTGGTCTTTCAGCAGTGTGTAGTTCAGTCTCTGTGTGTTTGAGTATTTTCTGTGGGTTCTTTTGTTGCTGAGGTCTAGTTTTATTACATTGTGATCTGATGTAGGGGGTTATTTCAATTTTCTTGAATTTGTTGAGACTTGCTTTATATCCTAAAATATGATCTATTTTGGAGAAAGTTTCATGAGCTGCAAAAAAGAATGTGTTGTTGAGTGAAATACTCTGTAGATATCAACCATGTCTATTTGGTTTAATGTGTGGAGTAGCTCTGAAGTTTCTTTGTTGATCTTTTGCCTGGATGACCTATGTATTGGTGACAGTGGGGTATTCAGGTCTCCCACTATCACTGTGTTAGGGTCTATCTATGCTCTTAGGTCCATTAGAGTTTTTTAAATGTAGATGGGTGCCCCTGTGTTTGGTGCATATGTGTTAAGGATTGATATTTCCTCTTGATGAATTTCTCCTTTAATTAATGAGTGACCTTTATTGTCTCTTCTGATTGATTTTAGTCTGAAGTCTACTTTGCCAGATATGAATACAGCTACTCCAGCCTGTTTATGGGATCCATTTGCTTAGAAAACCTTTTTCTACCCTTTGACTCTAAGCCAGTGTTTATTTCCTTCTGTGAGATGAGTCTCTTGTAAGCAACACATGGTTGGGTCTTGCTTTTTAACTCAGTTTGCTTTCTGTGTCTTTTAATTGGGGCATTGAGGCCATTTACATTCAGTGTTAATATTGAGAGGTGCCTATTGTCTGATAATTATCTTTTCAGAGATGAAATCATAGTTCACTTTCTATTTTAGTATCTTGTTACTCCTGAAATTAAAAAGTCATTATGAGGGTTTCAATTCTGTTTGGAGGACCGAGAACTATGAAAACTCATTTTCTGTTAAGACTTGATGCACAATTACTTATTTCCAAACATTAAAAATATCAGGGCTGGGAATATAGCTCACTGGTAGAGGGCTTGCCTAATATGCATGAGGCCCTGGCTTCCCTTCCCAGCACTGTGTGGATACACACACATGCAAAATCAGCTACTTTCCTACCGCAGAGATATATGATGATCAAAAAGGCAATAATTAATGTATGAAAGTAAATAATTACCTATAAAAGGGCAACAGCATTGTTTGAAATCCTTTTATTTATTCCTAGAGTACCTTCTCTCTCTGCTTTGATGCTGCTTTCCTCTCTGCCATCCTGCCATGTCCCTCACTCTTAGAGTTTAGTTCTTATAATTTCTGTACTACATTTTGTAGTTAAAAGTGATATATCATTTCTTACAATTAGGATCTTACTCTTCTGTTTCCTTCAGTGTTTTGATGTTCAGGCATATTAGTGAGCTTCTAGTTGGGATGATTCACTGTGACTTCCTCACCCTTCCCTTAAGTAGGTCTTGAACACTCACCACCTTCTCCTATATTCTTTAGGCCTGATCTCCATGGAAGAATTTCGGACCATGTGGAAACTTTTCAGTGCTCACTACAATGTTTGTATTGATGATTTGCAAGTTGATGAGCTCGCCAACATAATGGACTTAAACAAAGATGGAAGCATTGACTTTAATGAGTTTTTAAAGGCTTTCTATGTAGTGCATAAATATGATAACTTGAACAAATCAAACACCAACATTGCTAATGATGATCGAAGACCACCCTCAACCTCTTTTTAAACAGCTGAACCCAAATTTCAGTGTTTTCCAGGGTACTTGAAATCATAGTAATAGAGAAAAGGAGACTCCAGTTCATGACACAAACACATGCACAGAATGAGTGTTTGAAGTCCTTAGCAAACTATTATTGTAAAGAAAAGGTTAAATATCCGCTGATAGGATTTACCTCCAGTGTTAGGACCCACACATTGCCAGTGAGGAATTGAGTTTGAGCCTAGTATGGGTCTCTTGGATGCTAACTCACCTGGAGACCAGAGCAATTTGGAATCATACTGAAAGGAACTCACAGGGCACCAGAGACAACATTAAGTGCAACATTTGTGAATGACCGAAGAATGGGAGGGGGAATACCAAACTATTAATGGAATAAACTGTTTCCAGCTTTAAACTGTAATCTTTTTCTGAGATTCCATAAGTGAATGATTCTTAATCATGGGGAAAGCACCCATTAGGGATGGGGACCATATCAGATTATGAAAATTATTTTCATTTCTGTTGGAGATGTAAAATTAATAATTTTTAAGTTTAGGTGAATAGACTATTTCCTTAAGAGAGACATAATTTACTAAAGTTCACTCAAGAACAAAAGGAGAGTCTGTAGAAACATACAGCCATTGAAGAACATGATGGCTTTGTAATGGGTCAATGTGGCTAGGGTGAACATCCTTTCTCAGAATTCCCTTTCTTGCTATTTCTGATTAGGGAGGGCCACAAGGGAAATTTTTGAGATCTGGTTGCAAAAGGGAAGCATTAGCCATTTTGTAGGTCAACCATGCTGATACAGAGATTCACCTTGTTGGTATGCTCTACCTTCTGCTGGATTTTTTGTCACCTTCACTGATTTCTGCACTGTGTTTGTGTGCTTAACCCCAAGATGCAGTGCCCTGTATCCTGCAAGAAACCCTCATTACCAAGGTCAGAGGCAGTAAGAATGGACATAAGCTCCAGTTCCTTCTTGTGGGGTGCCAGTGTGTGTGTGTTTTGGGGGGAGGGTTCAGCTGGCTTCTGATCTTCCTGACTGTGAACGTCAAGCTCCTGCACCAGACATAGATACCACAGCCTTACAGAGAAAGCTTAACCAGCTCCCACATTTGTAGAAGTCACTTCTACTGATTCTATGTATACATAAACAGAATCAGTATATACATATACAAAGTCATGTGTCCACAATGACAGGGATACATTCTGAGAAATGCATCATTAGTTAATTTCATCACTGTGTGAACATCATAGAGTGTTTTTAAGACTAAAACAGCTATATGTCACTGGGCAGTATAATCTCATGAGACCAATATCATACATGCAGTCTGTCATTGACCAAAATGTACTTATGTGGCACATAACTATATGTTTCCTACTGGTCTGTCTCTGGTTGAACACTGATACAGAATTTAATTCTGAGAGTAGATCCAGAAAAAGAAAGTTTTAAGCATGAGTGTTCTGAGTTGGTCCTGGATTTTCTGGAGTTAGTTCTGAAATTCAATTAGATTTAAAAGCACTTTCCAGTACTAAAGAAGATGCTTGGAATCCATGGCATGAAGTAGCAAAATAGATAGTCAGATTATCACCATTTATTAAGAACCCAAAAAGCAGGACTAAGAGACCAAATATTTGCTATTTTAGAACATTTTAGTCAAAATACATTTAGTTAGGGTTGGTTGGTTGTTGCTGAAAAACTTGAAGAAAATGATCAACACAGTGCTTTAAATTCTCAAGGCATTCGTAAAGGACCTGAAAGTTTCTGTGACTACCCTGAGTGGGGGAAAAACCTTGTCTCATATAGCCATGGGGTTGAGATTTCTGAAACTCAGAATCTAATTCTGGGAACAATTGAGTGACAACATATAATAAATTCCTGACCTCACAGGGTCTCTGCTATGACTTGATTGTCCAGTCCAAATATCTGTTGACATCTAATTGCCATTGTAACAGTGTTAAGAGGTGGGACCCTTAAGAGGTGATTAGGAGATGAAGGCTTTGACCTAATGAATGAATTAGTGCCATTATCATGGTTCCTGATAAAAAAAAATGAGTTTGACCCAATTTTCCTTCTCTCTGTCTCACATGAGCTTGCTTGCCCTCTGCCATGTTTTGATGCAACACAAAGGCCCTCGCCAGATGCCAGTATCATGTTATTGGATTTACCACCCTCTGGAACCGTAAGCCAAATATACTTCTATTGATTATTAATTACTCGGTCTGTGGTTTTCTGTTTTAGCATCAGAATAAAAGACTAAATTTCTTTTGTTGAAGTGAGGGGTCATTGGGAAGAAATGGCATTGTGAAAATTAGAATGAGGACCCATGGACAGGCTCTGATTCACATCTTTTGTAAGACAAGCAGTGCTTCTATCTCTGCCTGAGGAATTGCTCTCCCCTTTTCCTGAAGGACCTGTAATGGCCTCCCCTGAGGCAGTCACCTTGTAAGGCACTACTGAATCCTTGGAACTTACCACCACCACCTCCCTCCATTTGCCAATAAGAGTGAAAACAAACAAAGACGAAGTGATAACAATGATACATAAATAGAGAGTAAATGGAGTCCAAGTGTTCTAAAATCTTTTCTTTGTCCAGAAACAGTTAAAGCAACAATGAACATTAGATTGGGATAATTAAGAAATGCAGAGTACAACCTCCAGAATAACGGAAATAAAGAAATAGCAAAGGCATATCAATTTATAGAGGGAAAATGGAATAATAATTTTTAAAATAAGTCAATAAAAGGAAGCAATAAAGAGACAAGTCAAATACTAATATGGTAGATTTAAAGTCAAGCATAAAAATAACTGCCCAATGGCTTTTATATTTTAAGAGCATTTTCAACTAAAACTTAGGCTTCTGCAGGAATTTAGCATAAAGTAGCCAGACCCAGCTGACCCACCAGCCATCTGAAGATACCTGAGTGAATTCAGCTGAGCTGACCTGAACCCAATCCAGGCCAGAAGAACTGCTCAGCTGAACCTAAGGCCAAACTGCTGATATACCAACTTATGTCTAAATAAGTGTTGTTTTTAAGATAGGAAATTTTAGGGTGGTTTATAATGTGTCAAGAGCTAAATAAAAAGGTAATTGATATCTACAAGTAGAGTGCTGTCCTAACAAAAACTGAAATATGTGTCATTGGCTTTGTGACAAGGCATTAGGGCAGAGGTTGGAAAAGCAGTGAGGAAACAGCAGAGGGTGAAAATTAGCTAGGAAACTACTCCCACAGGCTACAGAAGTGTTATGTGGCTTTGAAACAATTTTCAAAACTGTAGTGTATGGTAGCATGGGAGATAGAAAAGGCTCCAAAGATCTTTGGGTCTGTGAATGTGGCTCAGTGGTACAGCACTTGCTTAGTATGTACAAGGTCCTGGGTTTGATGGATGGTTCAGTCCCCAGCACGGCAACAAAAATGATGAAAGTACATTATATACATATGGAAAAATGTAATAATGAAAACCATTAAATTGTTATCTTAAAAAAGAAGAATGAAATTGTGGGAAAAAAGAATAGAAACAGAGGTGACCTGGAAACCAGAAGCCAGACATGTTATATGTTTCAGCTGATTTTTCAAATTCTCTTATGAAAATTAAGTGTTTGCTGCCCGCTTTCTCTTTCTCTGTCAAAATAATTTTATTGAGGCGTATTTTGGATCATACAATTCACCCTGTTGAAGTGTACAATTCATTGTTTTAGTATATTTACCAAACTGTGCAACTGTGAGCATGAATGAACTTTAGAACACTTTAATCATGTCAGCATGATCCCTCATGCACATTTACAGTCAATCCCCATATCTCTCCCACCTGTTTCCTACCCCATCCACTTGCCAGGCAACCATGAGCCTACTTTCTGTCCATGGATTTGCCTTTCTGGATGTTTTATATAAAGTGAATTGTTCAGTATGTGACCTCTTTGTCTTCTTTCACAGAGCTTAATATTTTTGAGGTTGATTCATGCTGTAGGATGTATTCAAAGTTAGTATCCCATTGTATGTATCACATTTTTCCATCCATCAGTTCATGTGCATTTAGCTGTCTCTAGTCAATCTCCATTATTTGCAGATCCCGTGCTGCTAATTTGTTGCTCATTAAAATGTATTTGTAATCCACAGTCAATGTATACAGAGGTCATGTGCAAAATGGTGAAAAATTTGAATCCACATGTTCCCAGTTGATGTCAAACCAAGTGACACTCTTGTTTGTTTAAATTCTCAGATTGTTTACAAGTATCCTTCTAGAAATATATTTATTGCCATGTTTTCCACACCTTTTCACATTTGCTACTGATTTGTGCTTTTTTAAGTGGTATGTATGGACACTTAATCAGGTTGGATTGTTCACGTACAAGCTTTGTAAACTTTTGTCATGAACTCATCATTAGAAGTGCTTCTATTTTTTCATGTGAGCATTTTATGATATTTGGGATATGGGAGCTTCTCTTCCACATCTTTGTTTGCTTCTGCCTTGTTCCCTAGGAGTCTCACTGCTTGAGGAATCATTGTTATATAACTTTTTAGTGTTTGGTTTCTGAACTCTGTGGGTACAATGAAAGCAATGTGAATTGTGGTCCTGTGGTTTTAAATTTTCAGAGACCTTTTATTATTTTCCCACCCAAACCCCTGTGTCCCGTGGTCTCTCTTGTTTTTAAATTCTTTCATAAATGAAATAGTTCTTTGAGGATCTTGGCTTTATGTGAAGTTCTCTGTTTCATTCTCTACCTCCCAAAGCCCACAGCCTAATTTCTTGTGCTTGTGTGGTACACTAAATCCCAAACCTCTAGGTTCTGGAGACAAATACCCCCCAGTATCTCAAGCACTCACTCTTCTGTTTTTTCACTTCCCTCTTTGTTTCTGATACCTGGGGGGTTGCTTTTGTTATTTGTGGGACTAGGTGTATATTTAAGATAATTATGTTACATTTTACCCAGTATTTCTAGGTGATTATAGCAAAAGGATTTTCAGGATGTTTATGTCTACCACATTCCTAGCAGAGGCAAATAGACTTTTTGTATTCTTTGCTGTTTATTAGTAATCTTTAGGCTTCATATTTTATCAAGACAATGATTGAATATTCATAACATGCAATGTGCTTGAGCTATAGAACATATGTCATTTACTGTGCCTCAATTTTTAAACATTGGTCGGACTTATTTCTGTATTTTTTGAATGATTTTTATGTAACTGGGATCATATTATACATTTTTTCGAAGGCTACATTTTTTTTGTTTCACCTTTTCTTTCCCCAATAATGGAGAAACTAAGAAACCTATAGCCAAACATCATCCTAAATGTGAACATCATCTAAAGTCAGGAACGACATAAGGGTGTCTACTTTCCACTCTTATTTAGTATAATACTAGAATGCCTAGCCAGAGAAATAAAGCAAGAGAAATATATAAAAGTTATACAAATAAGAAAGGAATAAGTCACATTATCTTTTTTCAGATGATATGATCATGTACTTAAAAGACCCTAAAGACTCTACTGGATCTCTCTCTTAGATCTACTAAACCATTATAGCAAAGTGTCAGATTACAAAATCAACATTAAAGATTAGCAACTTTTTATGTACCAATATTGAACAGACTGAGAAAGAAATCAGGAAGAACCATTCACAATAGCCTCAAAAATTTAAATACCCAGGAGGATAAATCTAACTAAGGAGGTGAAAGATCTCTACAATGAAAACTATAAAACTCTGAAGAAAGAAATTGAAGAAGACACTAGAAAATGGAAAGACCTCCATGTTCATGGATCAGTAGAATTAATATTGTGAAAATGGCTATACTACTGAAAGCAACCTACAAATTCCCATCAAAATTCTAATACCATTCTTCATAAAAATAGAAAACTCAATCCCAAAATTCATCTGGAATCATAAAATACTGAATAACAAAAGCAATCTAGAGCACAAAACAATGCTGGAGGTATCACAATATTTGACTTCAAATTATACTACAGAGCCATAGTAACAAAACAAGCATGGTGTTGGCACAAAAAACAGGTAGATCAATGCAATAGAATAGAAAATCCAGAAATATAGGCATCTGATATCTGACAAAGGTACCAAAACTCTAAATTAGGAAAAGATTGTGTCTTCACCAAATGGTGTTGGGAAAACTGTATATCCACATGTAGAGGACTGAAACTAGACCTCTATCTCTCACCCTATACAAAAATCAATTCCAAATGGATCAAATATCTTAATATATAACCAGAAACTTTGAAACTCCTAGAGGAAAACATAAAGAAAACCCTTGAGGCTATGTATACATAGGTAATGCTTTTCTGAATAGAACCCCAGTTGCTCAGAAAATAACAAGAATTGAAAAACAGAATTGCATCAAACTAAAAAGCACAGCAAAGGAAACAATTATAAGAATCAAAAGAAAACCTACAGAATGAAAGAAAATCTTTGCTGGTTGGATAAAGGAATAATATTCAGAATGTATAAAGAGCTCAAAAATTAAACACCAAATAATCAAATTAATAAATTGGCAAATGAATTGCACATACAGTTCTCAAAAGAAGTACAAATGACTAATAAACACATGAAGAAATGTCCTATATCCTTAGCCATAAGGAAATGCAAATCAAAACATCATTGAGATTCTATCTCACCCTAGTCAGAATGGCTATTCAAGAAACTAAACAACAACAAATACTGGTGAAGATGGGGGTTAAGGAGCTCTTATACACTGTTGGTGGGAATATAAAATAGTGCAGCCACTACTGTAAGGAAATCTGTAAGGAGGTTCCTTAACAACACTAAAGATAGAACTACCATATGATCTTCCTATACCAGTCCTTAGCATAGATCTGAAGGAATGTAAGTCAACATACAATAGAGATACCTGCATACCCATGTTTATGGCAGCACTATTCACAATAGCCAAACTATGGAATCAGCCTAGGTGTCCATTGACCAATGAATGGATAAGGAAAATGTGGTATGTATACAGAATGGAGTATTATTGGCCATAAGGAAAAAATAAAATTATGTTGTCTGTAGGAAAATGAATGGAACTAGCAATTATATGAAGCAAAATAAGCCAGACTGAGAAAGACAAATATCACATGTTCTCTCTCACTTGTGGAATCTAGTCTTTAAAAGTGAATAACAGGAAGGTAAAACAAGTCCTGTTTGAGGGTGGGTACCAGCAGGAGGGGGCGGGAATATGGTCAAAGTACTTTATACCAATGGATGAAAATAGGACCATGAAACTGGTTGAAACTGTTTCAAGAAGGGGGAGAAGGGAGGAAAGATGGGGGAGTGGTAGAGGTAGTGAATTTGATAGAGATATATTGTATGGATGTGTGGGAGTATCACAATGAAACCCTTTGTACAAGTAGCATATGCTAATAAAAAGAATTTTAAAAATAAAAATGAAACTATTGCTTGATTATATTCCACTCAAAACCTTGTGCAAGGCCCTGGGTTCAATCCTCAATACTGGAAAACAGAACAAAAAAAGGGAAAGTCATAAAAATAAACCATGAATTACCATCAGCAATGGGTGAAAATCCCTTACCTTCATTTCTACTAGCAGTAGCTATTATAGTTCTTTCTACATTTTGTGAATCTGATGCGTGTAAGATGATTTATCATATAGCCCTTGACTATGATAGAATTTGAGTGTCTTCATGTATTTGGATGTGCCATTCTGTGGATTGGCCATTCTTATTTTTTCTTTTGAGCCATTTTTTCTCTCAATTTGTAACACTTCTGTATACTGTAGAAGTTAACTCTAGCTGGGCATGGTGGGGAGGGGAGGAGGAGAGAAAGGAGGAGAGGAAGAGAGGAGGAGAGAGAAGAAGAAAATTTTAAAAACTTAAAACAGAGACCTAAACAATAAAGGATAAGAATGTAAAACAGGTCATGCTGAGGGGAGAACACTAATGGTGGAGGTTAAATGAAGAAAGTAAAGAAGGTAAATATGGTTAATGGACTTCTATACAAGTCTGAATATGGAACATTCAAACCTGTCTCCAAAAGAAGAGGACTAAGGTACAAAGGAGAATAATGGAGGGGATGAACCAATTTGGGGTATAATACATATAAGGAATGTCCCAATGAAACTCCCTATATAACAATCATAAACAAAAAAGTCTTTTAAAAAAAATGAAGAACAGAAGGTAAAACAAGTCTTGTCCAGTGGTTGGTACCAGTGGGAAGGGGGAAAGACATAAGGGAATGGTAAAGGAGGATGAATATGATGGAAGTACTATGTATTCATGTATGAAAATGGAACAAGACCTACTGAAACTGTTCTAAGAATGGGGCAGAAGAGGATTAAAGGAGAAAGATGGAGGGGAATGAATCTAACTCAGATATATTATAAGTACTTTTGTAAATGTCACAATGTACCCCTGGTACAACTATAATATGCTAATAGATAAAAAATTTTAAATTTAAAATATTTT